GGTCTTCTTTGGGTATTAATTTTTGATAAGTTGAGATAATTTTTATTTAAAATTATTTTAAATTCTCTTCTAAACATATCTATATCAATTTTTTAATTTTATTTATTTTGATTTGATTCATTTATGCTTCTATAAAACAAATAGAAGTTTTTTTTATAAAAGACACTATTAAAATTAAAATTTTTATTATCTTTCTATAATTTATCATTATTTTTCTACTACATCTTTTTATTAGCTTCTTCTATAAGAACATCTAATTTTTAAATTTTCAACATATAATCATGTTACCACATGAAAATATTAAGATATGAAAGTTTATATTTTACACTATTCAAGTTGATTTATTAAGATATATAATTTCAAATAATGGCCTCACAATGGATGTTAAGAATGTCAAGATTATCATAGATTAGAAGATTCTAAAAATAGTAAAATATATACAATATTTTTTAAAATTTATTAATTATTTTTAAATCTTCATTAAGAATTTTTTTAAGTTGGGACATTTTTAATACATCTAATATATAAAGAGAAATTTGAGTGGAATAAAGAAGCTAAAGTATTTTTTGAAGCTTTCAAGACAAAATTTATTTTTGCACCAATTTTGTATTACATTGATTTATCTAAGGTATTTATTATAAAAATAGATGCATCACACTTTGCTATATGTGTAATGTTGTCACAAAATAGAGTAAATGATAAGCTCTACCTAATAGTTTTATATTCTAGAAAATTTTCAATAACCACGATTAATTAAAAGATCTACAATTAATTTTCAATTGTGGATTCATTTTAAGAAAAATATCATTATTTAGAAAGTGCTTTTAATTTAGTCACTATATATGCGGATTATAAGAATATCAAATGCTTCATGTTGGTATGTGTTTTGAATCATTGCCAAATGCATTAGAGCATGGCTTTATTTAGATTTGATTTTAAGATTACTTATCAACCCAAAAAACAACAACGTTTATAAAATGCTCTTATTAAAAAAATTTATCTTACATCCAAAGAAACCGATGCATTTTTTGCTCAATAAAAAAAAAAAAAAAAAAAAAAAAATCTCTTGAAGTGAAAGCATTTTCATCTTTGAGCAATGAAATTAATATTAATTATTGATTCAATATTTTTGATGCAAATTCAATCAAGCATGTTCTTTAATTTTCTTATTCATGATATTAAGAATAATTCTTCTAAGTTTTATAAGACTTCTAAGTTCAAGTTCAAAACTAATTTATTATATATTAAAGAATAATTATATATATTAAAAGGCAAAACATAATTACATGTTCTTCAAGCTTTTCATGACTTTTTAATAGTTAGATATTTTAGAAAAAATAAGAGTTACGAGCTAATATCTAAAGATTTTTTAAGGCTTCAAATGTAGAAGGTAGTCAAAGACTTTGTACAATCATGTGACATTTGTTCAAGTTCAAAAACTCCTTGTCAACAATCTTATATACTTCTTCAATCATTATTAATTCTAAAGTAATTATTAGCTTTTATTTCCATAAATTTTATTACAAATCTTTTAGCCTCAAGTTTGCATAATTTTATATTTATAAAAGTAGATCATTTTGTCAAGATAGCACATTTTATACTATATATAAAATCTATCATTTTTTAAAAAATAACTCAATATGTTTTTGATAATATCTAAAACTATCATGGATTACTTAAGGATATTATATTAAAGAAGGAGACTCAATTTGTATCAAGATTTTCTAAAATCATTTTTAAGATTTTAAAGGTAGTTATAAAGCCATCTTTAATTTTTCATCTTCAAATCAATAGATAGATGGAGTAAATAAACTAAGTTTTGAAGGAGTATTTGAGGTATACCATCAACTATCAATAAGATGATTACACAATTTTTTTATTATAAATAAAATTTTCTTATAATAATAAGATATATTCTTTTATAATATATATATATATATATACATATTTAATAATTATGATTATTATCCATGATTTGATGCTTTTGACTTTTCAAAGTTAATAATCTTACAACAAAAGATTTGACAAATTGTTTATAAGAGGTACATATAACAAATTATTTATATGAAGGCACAACTAAAAAAAACTCAAAAATGATAAAAAAAACCAATGCGGATGCTTATGATAAGAAGTAACCTTAATTCTATACTGGTGACAAGGTATAATTACTTTGTCACAATATTAAGACTAGTCACCTTTGTGATAAGTTAAATTATTGTAAGATTGACCATTTTCTATTTGTGAATAAATAAATCCAATTTTTTATTGATTACATCTACTAAAGTCTACAAAGATCCATTCCATATTTTACATATTTCTTCTTAAGTCATATAAGACAATGAATATCTTGGAAAGAAGACAAATGATACTTCTTATTATAGAAGTGTATAATAATCAAGAGTTTGAGGTGGAAGAAATCTTAGATTCAAGGTAGTACCAAAATAGGTTGGATTATCTTGTTCATTGATACGAGTATGATATTAATAAATGTCCATGAGAGTTAGGTAAGAATCTTTTAAATGCAGCAAAGAAGATTGATGTTTTTCATTGACAACATCCATCAAAATCAAGATAAAAAATAACAAATTTTTGTTGTAAAAGAAATGAGTTCAAAGAAAGATAACTCTCTATTTTTTTATCTTTATTTATAGTTTTTATATATTCTTGTGCTAAGATGAAGAATCAACAACTAATAGATTTAACTCAAGAGCTATCATTTATTGACTTACTAGATAAGATATTATGTTTATTACAATCTTCAAGATGACATAGTCAAGATTAAGATCTTCAAGATTGATAAGTTCTTTCTTGAATAGATGGCAAGATATAATGCATATGGTATTACAACTTTAGAAGAAATTTTTGATGTTTGGTGATTTTATTAGATGTAGGAACGACTCTTAATAGTCTTACAAATATTTTGATTGAAAGAATTTATGAATGCTTCAACAATGATTAAATAATAGGGTGATCTTCTTGCCTTGAAATGGAACACTATAGACAACTGAAAAGACCTATCAACCACCTTCAAAGAAAATAAAGATAAGAGTATATAACAAACATAATTTACAAGATCTTGGACTTTTTCAACGTATGATGACCACTCATCATATTAGTCATTCCTAGAAGGAAGGATAATGTTACAAATATACATATTTACCTAAATAAGAAGTATTAGATAGAAAATAAATATAGGTAGATTTAATATTATCTTATAGCAAAGCTTCTTGGAAGCTTCATAGATACATCTTTGACTTTATATATGTTTATAGTTGATTAGTAGGTTAAAAAATTGATCAATAAATTATCCATGTATTACACATGTGGATAGCTTGTGAGACATGATAACAATGTGAACTGCATATAGAAAACTTGCCTTGTAAGTTAAGATATGTGTCTCACAAATTAGACATGTGTTGAAGATGTTACCACATAGCTCTTAGTTGGATAGTATATATGAAAGGAAGAGTGTGGCCTACTTCACTCTTGTCAATGCCTTTCTAGTTCTACTTGTTACTCTTGTCAAAAAATCTTCTTGTCTTTGATAATAATCATTCTAATCATTCTAGTCTTAATATTATATTGCTTTTGGAGTGATTTTTTTTTTTTTTTTTTTTTTTTTTTTTTAAATTACATAAGAGTATTTTAAAATTCTTCTTATTTTAATTCATATCCTTGATATACAGAATAGAATCAATTGTTAGAAGAAGCCTTTGTAATGAAAACAAAAAAGTAGTTACAAGCATTGTTTTCTATTATTTGTCTTCAATATTTACCTGCACATCCAAACAAGCTATGGAATAAGTTTAAAGAAATTCTTGTAATAATGTGGCTTATTGATTGATTCTAAATTATAGAATTAAGATACCAACAAAAAGACAAATATTAAGTTATGGACTATTTTTCTTAATAATTGTCTTTAAGAATCAAGCAAATAACATATTGATTTTTCATTAATATCATTGTAAAAAAAGAATTCGAATGAAAGTGATACAAATTAAATATTTATGGAGCATATGACATAGAATTGTGACAAATTAAAATGAATGGTAGAAGAATGTTTGTTAAAGTTGAATAATGAACAATATACCATATATTTGGATATCTTTGCTTTATTGGATAATAATCTTAAAAATTTATATTTTTTAGGAAGATCAACAAGAAGTAGAAAACAATTTATTTACAATATATTAGTTTTTAAGTAGCAAAAATGGTAGAAATATTATTTTATATGATGTTTCTTTTAAAATTGTTATATAACTTTTAAGTAATAGATGGACTATATATTTTATGTTTAAAATTTTGCTCCATCTTAATGAAGATTTGTTTTGCAATATTGTAAAAAATGTACTATATACAAATGTATTAAAAAAGATTGTTCTTATCATATAGAATGAGATACCAATATAATATTTTTATTGTGATGAGGTAGTCAATAGAACTCTCTAAAACATAAATAACACTAATAAGTTATTTGGTGGAATTACTTTTGTCTTTAGTAGAGATTTTTGATAAATTCTTTATGTTGTCATTAATGGCTTTAAAGAAGAGATTGCTAATGCTTCTTTGCAACAATCAAGGATTTGGTCTTATATTAAAGTATACAATGTATATTTGTTTTATTTATTATAAATATCAATCTAAAAAATTTAATAGATAATATATATATATATATATATAGATGTATATGCATTTCTTTTTTAAAAAAATTTAAATTAAAAGATATAAGCAGAATAATAAACATACTAATAATTATTTACTGTATATATTGAAAGATCATCTCATCGAATTTTGTAGCATTTTTTTCTAAAGAATTAGTGACCCTTCCTTATAAAAACATGTTTTCACAAATCTCACTCTGCCTGTATGTGCATATAAACTATTGCTACTTCTACAGAAAAATCAATGTAAAACTCTCCACAACACACAGACACACACTTACAAGTAAAATAAAAAACGACAATAAAATAAGAAAAAGAAAGGAAGAAAGGAAGGAAGAAGAGGGAATTGGAAGAATGAGGAGCAGGAATGGAGCACGAGCCTGGGCCAGCCTCTTTAACTGTACACTTCGGCAGCAAACCCTAGTTCTGTTTCCACACCTCGCTCTGCCTCTCATTCTTTTTGTCTCGCTCTCTGTGTTGCCGTTCCCCAGCTCCGCATTGCTCCACCGTCCTCGTCGCCACCTACCAGGTGCGTACCACGTCTGGTATCAGCGATTTCATGCTTGTATTGATAGTTTGCGATCGAACAACGGGCTAGGTTTGGAATGTCGCTAAATTGGAGCTAACCCGTTGCACGTTGTAAGTTTGTGGATTGTTGATTCCGAGAGGCTAAGGATGAAATAGCGGAGCTACGGTCTCATGTCTGCTGATGAGCACGCGAATTCCATTATCTTGTGTGTATGGTTTTTGTGGATATTTCGGTTGAAGTGAGCTGATCCGTTGCCGCGCGTGATTCCCTGGCGGCTGTTATTTTTCGTGTCCTTGGGAGGTTGTCTATGCTTTCAAGGTTTTTACAGATTGAGTTTAATTAGGGAAGGATTCTACTGCGGTAGGCATGACTAATGTGAAGCTGTTCGTGTTGCTGGAATCAACAATCTGATTCAAAGGTAGTTCGTCATTTAATTCTTGAAATGATTCAGGGCCGCACAGACTTCATGATATTCAGTTTTGAGTTGGTTTTAATTCTGCAGGCGCAACCAACATGGCATCAGCATTACGGAACCTTGCAAGCCTGAAAGTGAAGGATGTTCCGACGTTTGTGAAGTCATCACTTAGCAAGGAGAAGGTCATGCAGGATACTTGGTCATGGTTGTACAAGTACAACGAGAAGTATGTTCAGACTGGCAGCATCAGGCCTTTGACTGATGTGATGCTGTCTGTTGGTTTCCTCTCTTACGCTATTGCTTGGCCTACCGAGATCCGGCATTTGCGTCATGCTGAGGAAGCTGCCAAGCATGGCAACAATCATCATTGATTGGACTTCCATATAGTTTCCTACAACTGGTTAGATCTCATTTTCTTCTCCCTCTTGGAAAGAATCGTAATAATTTTGTTCGTGTAAGGGTTGTGGACATCATTCTTGTGGACATCTTTCCCATACCCCACAGTACGTGGTTTTACATAAAGATGACTACTTCATGTGTTCGAATGGAATGGAAGACCTACGGAATTGGAATAGCAGAGGAGCAGCAGTTCAATGTAGTTATGCGGAGATCTGGCTTTGTGCGTTGCATAGAGCAAGAGCAGCTACTGTATTCACTCAAACTTGATTTTTGTAGACAGCTGTGAGTGGCACGTTCAATGAGCAAGCCATTGGTTGTGTTTGATCGCTCAACATTCAACATGATTTTTTAAGACACTCGAGGTTCAGGAGTAATATTGTGAAAATCGTAATGACAATGAACAGGATAAGCAGGTCGATTAGTGTAGTAGATTGTGTAGTCTCTCCCAGACGCACACAGATGCTGTACTTTGCTTAATTGATGGGCACTGACCTCGACAATATCCTTAGCTCAGTGTCGTACCCGACAGAGTATCTTACGTTTCCCTACCTGACCCACTTTCAAATTCTGATGCATAATTTAAACAGAAGGCGCGGCTATTTTTTTGCTAAGAGATGATATCGCTTTTTTGACTACGGCGATTTTCCAAGTGTTTCATAAGCAGTCCTATTAAGCTGATAATTAGAATTACATGCCGATCCCCAGGAGAGGGTGCTGTCAGGAACCTGTTTGAAGCTGCTACACCTATCATTGTTCATTTAAATAATGTTAAATAATACATTGTTCGAGAAGTCCGGTGGTATTAATACGGGTAGAGTTTTACAGTCGTGATTGGGGTGCAGAGTACAAGAGTTTCGCACATTCGATCCGCAGAACGCGTCTTAGTAATTTGTTCGATGCTGTTCGTGGAAAATCTGGGAACACGGCCACTGCTCTTACCTGTGCAATACCAAAAAAATTCAAGCCAGATCAAACCATTCGTCAACTCAAAAGCGCCAAAGATTTCTTTACAGAAGAGTACCCATTTTCCTAGCTAACTCAGCAGCCCTCTGCTTGGTTGGCGACTGAATGCAGGTTATAGACCAATGTGAAGCATACATTAGTAGCTGTGTACCTTGAACAAGGGGTTCAAATTGGACATGACATGCGAGAGGAATATTTTCTGAAGCTCCTTGCTGCTTATGTTGTAACCTGGTTTGAGCACAGCTGCAATCACCAACTCCTCTGGACCACCCCTGGGTGGCTGAACGGAAATGGCAGCGGTTTCTTGGACGGATTCGTGAGCCTTGTTGCAAACTTGTTCAATTTCAATAGCACTCGCCTGGAAGAAATTCACGAATTAGACACTAAAAGACTACTGAGGATCTAATTACTGAAACAAAATCCAGTCTGTTTTTGTTCCGTTTCGTTTCGACTTCATTAAAGGACAATCCTCAAATCCATGCCCTTCGTTCTACTACTGAAGGTTTACCACCTCGCATCCTCGGCAAGCAGATCTGTAACGCCTTGTTTATTCTCTTTTTTCCTTAAAAGAATGGAAAAGAAAATAGATCAAGTGTTTCAAACCTTGATGCCGCCGAGGTTCATTGTATCGTCGGACCGTCCATGGGCTTTGTAGAACCCTCCATGAAATCTTTGGAAAATATCTCCATGACGTCTCAATTGCTGTGAATCACATGAAAACAAATATCAGAGTTGGCATTCGAGAAAGTTAGAATCATTAGAACCGACAAATTGGGAGGAACCAACCACGTCAAGAGCAAGTGACATTCTTTTATAAAACTGTTTGAAGAAGGGGAAATCACCTTCCCATTGAAGTGGGGCATCCCTTGGTAGTAGACTTTATGGTGATCAGCGTTGAGAAGAGTGCTCGATGATCCAAAATTGTGCGGATGGAGAACTAATTCACCTGTGCAGGCTGCCTCATCTGGCTGTTCAGTCCAAGTCATAGGGTCAACAATAATTCTTGTGCTCATGATAGATTTACAGTGGCATGGCACACCCGCGAAACCAACTAGACTTAAGAGGTTTGCAGAAACATCCAGGTTTGAAACTGCAACACATTCGAAACAGCGAAAGAAAAACTCTCCAAGTAACATCTGCCAATCATGTAATGGAAAATGCAACCACGCTGCACTATATCTGCCGAGCTGCGATTACTTACATATGGATTGTTGGAGTCGTCGAGAATGTAAATCCGAAAGGTCATTCCAACGGTGCTGAATGCGGCAAATGCCTGAGGCTGCACCAGATTGCCGCCCACGTACATTGCTCCCAACTCTGTGCCTCCACAACATTCCAGTACTGGCTTATATCCTGCCTGAGCACTCAACCATAGGTCATCATCGACACTCGATGTTTCTCCACTTGATCCGAAAGCCCTGCAGTTTTCATCAGGAATGTTCAGAATAGACAGCTCTTGCATTTTGTTCATTTGTTTAAATCTACGTCTACTGATGTCTCGGAAGACAATATTATTTGCTAGTAACGCAGTTTCGCAGTTTTCCATGAGGGCAAGTACGAGTTGGCACAACCTAACGCCAACTTTGATGGCACGGAGGAAAATTACAAGGATAAGCTTCCATCCGATCATCTAGGTGAACGCTTCAGAGCCATGAAGTAACACTGGAGGAGAAAGTGAATCCAAACTGAATCACATACCGGATGGCAGTCCAGTCGAGATTGGCCATGCAACCGGACGCTTTCCAAGCCCTCACCAGGCTGGGGACCGTTCCTAGCATAGTTACCTTAGCATCCTGCAATCGCAACACTTGTTACCGAGTGTCCCAGACAAACCATTATCTCCTGAAAATGCAGGAGGACAAGAGGGAAGAATCTGCACACTGAATTCCAACAATGTGATAGTCTCGGTGTTTCGGAAGAGTTGAGGAATTACCTGCACGAACTTTCCAAAACCTCGATCCAGAGGTGAGCCGTTATACAGAGCTAAGGTTGCACCATTCACGAAGGCAGAGTACACGATCATTGGTCCTACCATCCAGCCCAGGTTCGTCGGCCAGCAGAGCACATCTCCTTGTCTTGAATCGAGGTGTGCCCAAGAATCTGCTGCGCATCGGAGGGGTGTGTGTTGAGTCCACGGTATTGCCTTCGGCTCACCTAAGACATCCAAGGGCTTATCATTCTATGAGAAAAATTTCGGAGTAGAGCAAATTGCACATGGTATCAAGGGATGAAATCAATTGACTCAAGAGCTAAGCAACGTGGAAAAGGTTTAAGATTGTGTGATGTACTACGATTCTACTGATGCACTACTGACAGATTTCTATGATTAGTTCTTCACCGAAACATCTCGTTCGGCAAGCTCTAACCTGTAGTGCCCGACGAGAAAAGTATGTTGGTGTAAGAATCCATAGACTGTATCACAGGTTTGTACTCATCCGGCCTGCTCAAATGCTCTGCTCGTACCAAAAATTCATCCCATGATAAATCTCCGTTCCTGAGACTTAGGCTGGATGCTTTGCCGTCAGCGGGAAGAACGATCGCAAGGGGAGCTTTGCTCTCGATCACACGACTGCAAAATGGAATCGTGTAAGAACAAATTAGTTCACTCCAATTCAAAATAACGACAATAATGCGCGTTAACAATAATTATGAACAGATCATCTCAACAAATAACATTGATCTTTAACAGGAATGGAAGTGCATACCTATACAGAGGGAGCTTCTTGCCTCCTCTTTGGATTACGTCCTGATATAGCCCCAAATCCAGTACAAAATGAGTACCAACTTAACGTGCACGACTTGCTTGTAGCTTACTTGCAGGCAGATCAATTGAATGTTTTGGCTGTTTATGAATTATTGACAACTTACAGTGCAGAAATACAGACCTGGGTGAAGATAGCCTTGGCTTTCGAGATTCGTATGCGAATAGCTATCTCTTTGGCAACAAAGCTGTCAGGAATGGAGACAACGACACAACCTGCAAGGATAATGGCTAGGTATGCAGTGACTGCCTGTACGTTCATCTGCATGTCAATCGCAATTGAATCCCCTTTCTTGAATCCAAGCGCTTCAAGAGAGTTGGCTACGCGGCTGTCAAACCCCCAAAAACATGAAATAAGACCTCATTGATCTCAGAATAGCCATAAAAACAGCAATAAACTTATGAAGATTCCATACTCATACTTAATCCGTACCTGACGTCGGCCCGTAGCTGCGAGAGAGTGATCTCCCTCACGGGTAAGTCGTCCTCACCCTCATTGCGATACATTATAGCAATGCTAGAGTCAGTTTTGGAGCCTTTCGCAGCCAAACAGCACTCAGCCACATTCAAATGGGCACCGGGAAGCCATACGCCTCCTTGGTTAGCCTCGTCACTTGTGTCCAGAAAACATCGTGGATGTTGGTGAAATATTAAGCTCTGATGCTCCCATACTAGGGGAAGGTATAGCTGCACAACGCGAACCCCGTTTCCAGCACGAACACTAACTCGGCATATCGGACACAATAATTGCTGAACGACAAATTTCGGGAAAATCTATTCAATCGAGAACTACTGAATCATTACACAGAATGAAAATGTCGCCCTTGCAGTAACCCACCTCGGGATGTTCAAAGGACCAGCGTTGGAGCTCTGGTAAGCTTTCTGTGGGGCTGCGGTACTTCTCCCCCAACACCTCGCGACCCTTCCTTTCTAGAATTCGTCCCAGATTTGACTGTCGAGCAATTTCCCTGCATGAGATGCAACAATGACAGATGAAGCAGGGGACAACACCAGGAGAATCATCACAGAAAGAACAGGAGATTCTACACTCGAGTGAAAGCTTCAGAACCGCACGACGAGATAGAGAATTGCAAAGAAATGTAGCAAACTCACGGCGTTGGGATCCATCCGAGGGGAGGTCCACGCGTGGAAACGTCCCAATCTCCATAGCTGGAGTAGTACAAGAGCTGATGAAGAGGAAATGGGTGCCATGGCCTCAGCAGCTCCTTGGAAATTCGCTGCCATATATTGGACTGGGAGCGGCGTTCTTGAGTGACGATCGCTTGCAACTGAGCAAAGAAAACGCCAGCATCCTCGCGAGAGAGCCCAGCTTTCACGAGATGAGCTTCCGAAACCAAATCGATGGTGAACCCGCTCTCCTCCATGGCTCCCCGCACTACACCAACGCACTCCTCTTCACCATTTGTCGGAAAATCAATACCATCACTCTCTCCTCAAAAACGTTCACAGAGCTGGAGCCTGGCTCACACCTAACAAGCACGAAAGAGTGTGGGTCAAACTTGGTGACACACACGACGACGTCGCAGAAACGGAATCGAAACTATGGTGGAGCTTTTTGACTGATGCGGGCTCTTCTGACTGATGCACATGCATTCCTTCCTTCCTTCCTTGCGGATCTGTGACCTTTTTCTCCACTTTCGCAACGACAAAGCTTCGCCGCCGAAGACTCTCTCCACGACGACGACGACGACGATGACGCGTGGTCCATGGACGATAAAGATGATCGCGGCCAGAAAGAGGAAAGACATGCACGTAAAGACAAGCCTGGCTGTTGTATGCATTGAGACTTTGGGGATGATGGGGAGGATTCATGAAAGGACATACAGTGTAACTGTGTGTGTACATGCAATATCTACTTTCTTGTTGGTTTGAATTGTTGGAAGACATTTTTATGTGACGTTTTGTTTCACTTCATATGACGTTGTATGACATTTGTATTTGGTTTTGGATTAAGATTATTTATTTATTTATTTATTTATTTATTTTTGTTGTTGTTGTTTCCATCTTATATGTTGTTATATGTTATATATGTTATATGTTGTTGTTTCCATCTTATGATATGTGAATGATATGTCTTCATTGTTGCAAAATACTCTATTGATCCACCCATTTATTAAATTGATCCACCTCATAGTATTCATCTTTAGAAAAATGGATCATCTGGCAAAACCATTGTTACAATCATGGCCCTTGTTCCTAGCCCCCACTCCCTTTGTTCCACCCTTCTTCATCTCAACCCCCTCATTCCCCTCCCTCCATTCCCAGCTCTCATCCCATTCCCCCTCGTTTGTTCTTTCCCCATGATAGGGTGGGTCAATTTACTAAGATCTCAATAGAATTTTTCCTTTATTATCAACTACATTCTAAGTGTCCATGTTTGTTTGAAATACCTTTGAAGCTAAGATGCAGAAAGATGTTGTTTTAGTCTACTCTTTGATGTATCATTTGAAGTTACATCAATATTTTTTGATTTTTTAAAATTTCAATATAAATCTTCTAATTTTTTTTAACGTACAAGACCATTTGTTGGTCTGGAAAAATCAAATGGCTACATGTGGAACCTCTTGCTCAAACTAAACTTTGCTTAACTATTTTGAGGTGTGAAATCAACCACAGTTTTTTTTTTTTTTTTTTTTTTTTTTTTTTTGTGTCTGTATACATATTTAAGTGCATTTTGTTTCTTTATATATGTAGATAAAATAAATTCAAAATTACTGTAATATTTTGGCTCTTTGAACGACCAAAAACTTAAAATTTCCAATTTTAGAAAAAATAAAAACAAGAAAAAAAAATACCAGTACAAATACATATAAAATCACATGTATATTGGAACTGCAAACATTCACATCCAAAATATTTCCCACCCTCTTTGCACTGTATTTTTGGTTATAAAAGTTTTAAATTGTATGTTTTAAACCATGAGAATAATGTGGTTCTTTTTCATTTATTAAGTATTATGTGAATTTAAAAATTATTGCAATATTTTCAGTGAAATTAATTTTCATAAGTTGAGTTTTATCATTATATGTTCAAGATTTTAAGCTTGTACTTCAACTCGTATTAAAAGAATATGGAAATCTAAAGACAGAATTACTTATTGAAAAAATATTTTTATCAAATATTTTAAAGCCTCTTTGCTATTTAGTCATGTTTTTACTAATATTTGGTATGTGTTGATTTGTGCACATATTTCTCTTGATTATTATTTGTCTTTTCCGGTAACAAATTGAATACAAATAACAGATGTTGTTCAACATATAATTCCAAACGAGTAGTTTTGAAATGAAATTTGCAACCTTTAAATACCACACTAAATATGTTGAAAATGGCACTGTACAACGTTGAAATGGATTCGAACAGTTGTTGTTCCTTTATAATCATTTCTATCAACCATCTATATTCCAAACTATTAACATATTCATAAGTGTGATTTGAAATAAACATGTGAAAGTGTGTTCAAGATTCAACGAGTTTTTTTTTTTTTTTTTTTTTTTTTTTTAAAGAAGAGAAAAGAAAAAACATTAATCTTCATGAGATTATTTTAAAATGAGCATTAGCAATATCTTCTAAAACATGTTTTATTATTATTTTTATATAAAATCATATTAAAATTTATGAAGAAAATTATCCTATGTGTGGTTTTGTGGTAAAAAAATAAAAACAAAAACAAAAACAAACTAGATACATAATTGTATAAATCGACACATCAATAAATTAACACTTTTCCTTTGCTATTGTTCTTGAACATCTATTTATAATTTGAAAACGTAAACCTATAGAAAATTATAATGCAGTGAGCACAATTTCATCAGCTTGATTATTTACTGTTATAACTATTATTTCTTTTCTAGTTTTGATTCATTGTATACTAAAATGAAACATGTGAATAACTGCGAAATTGATGTAAATATATTGATACAAACATTGGAAAAAACAAAAATCACCCATGCAAAGTTAATTGCTCAAAAAACTTCAAAGTTGATTAATAGTACCAAAAAGAAAAATCATTGGTGGAGTAAAAATGTTCCATATTGGGACTTATATGAATTCACATCAAGAGATAAACATCTTAAATTAAGTCGATTGAAAAGCAGTACTTCACTGTATGGCTTGCATAAATCTATTATCAATAACAAACACAATAAAGAATTGCAAATACAAAGTGACAGTCATTTGAACTATTGTCTTCAATGTGGCAACCCTGGACATACTATTGATAAATGCAACCAAATTCGTGAATATTGCAAGTGTCTTAAGAACAAGAAAAAAGTTAGTGAAGATCGTGATGAAAAACTCAATTCTAGAAGCGAGAAAAATTATAAAAACAAACGAAACACAAGTCCATGCCATGTGAATTTTCCTTTAACCAAATTTGATTTAAGCAAATGTGACAAATACTGCAAAAGAGAAGCACCCCAATCACATTTAAACCAAAAAATAAATTTGTGGGAAATGCAGTCTGGAGGTATTAAGCAGCCTTTGAAAATGAATCAAAGTTGCCACTTTGAAGCTCCCCGACATAATGAAAATATGATTGATTTCAACTTTTTAAAACCAAAGCTTCGACTATTCAATCATAAGCGCAACTTGCAATTGCAAAACCTACAATGTTCAAACAATTCTAATGTAATCCCTCCCAAAAATTATTGTGAGGTTTTAAACCCTAATTTGTCTCAATCAAATGCATTGTCAAATTGCACCAAGTCTTCCAAAAATGTAAATGAATCTTCAATAGCTATAATTTTGGGTTCAGTAAATGGAATAGAAACAGATATTCATATTGATAGCGGTTCTACAATTTCAGCCATTACAGAAACATTTGTTCAGAAATTGAATCTTCAAACATTGGTAACTAGAGATATACTTGTGGTTACATTGGCAAATGCCCATATTAAAAGACAACCGGAGCAAATATGTTTGGTGACCCTAAAAATCAAGGATTTTGAATCACTTGAAGTGTTTAATATTCTTCCAAATCAAATGTATAATGTAACATTAGGTAAGAATTGGCTAAAGAAAAATAAGATAGTTTGTGATTATGGACGTGATCTTTTATTCTTGCCAAATTTTCAAACTATACAAATGGGTTGTACCAAATTGAAGGCTCTATTGGCAAATGATGTTATTCTAGAGATCAATCAATTTATGAATAAATGTAATTATAAAATATTTAAAAACTATATGTTTGAAGACATGTAATATTTTATTATATCAGTATGTTTTAAAAAATATTGATATCAAATTTTATTAATATGGATGATCCTCAGCATTGTATAATTATTCAAATTAATTTAAATCCAACTATTATCTATGAAAAAAATAGTTTGATTTTTTTTTTACAAAAATTCAAGTTATTTGATTTTGATTTTCTTTTTAAACAACAATTCCTGTGCTTATTTTGCAACTGTCAACTACATTAACCATGGAACAAGAGAATGGTAAATTATTACATATAGTAGAATAATTTAAAAGAAAGTTATAAATGTGTAACAAAATAACAAACACATGATCATGATTAATTTATGTAAATTATCATTTAAATATGTTTCAATTTAAATTATACAGTTTTTTCTGTTTTGTTTGTTTTTATTTTAGCTTTTTTCTGATTACCTCCAATTACAAAAATAAATCCGTTAAGGAGTTAAAAAAGAAGAAGAATAAATGTAACATTCATATATCACCGTTCATAGTTGAAGAAAAAAACATTTGATTAAATTATTATTTTGCTTAGATTTTCATACAGAGTATACCCACTTCCAATGAGGCTGTCAGGGTATATCAAATTGATTAGCCAACCAAGGTTTCCGTCCCGGATACCCTGTCCGAGACCCTGGTATATATTATATCCCGATACCTTGTTCGAGAACCTGGTATATTATACCCGATACCCGAATCGTCACATCATCATCAGAAATGCCTTGTTAGAACCCGTTGTGACCATTCGTGCTACACCTTCTTCGTGCCTGTTTCCAGAGTATCACAACTATACCTTTATCTACCACGGAAACCGGGTGTGAGAGAGGTGTCAATCCATGATATCCTCTTGTCGAAAACTTCACCACCTCCCATGCACCCTTTTTTTGTATTTTCTGCATCGCCAAGTTGTGTTGTTTGTTCTTCTTGTGCTTGCAATCCGGCGCTGCGCTGCCTCCGTTCAAATTCAGTTTCTCTCCTATTTTTTCTATTGAATCGATCCTTAATCTGGTGAGTGTAATCAGTGCACCATGTCGGGGTTCAGAATTTTTTCTCGTGGTAATTTTGACGATGAGTCGAGATAAATACCTTCTTTTACGTTCGCAGGAAGTTAGGGTTGGTTGAGCTCATCGACATGCTGGTTGCCTTCTTTCTGCATTGATGATACTAGCAGTGCGATTTCCTCAGGCCGCTTCCTTAATGAATAATTGGAATCTCTTGTTAGAGAAGAAGAGGTTTCTTGCAAGAGGTGTGATTTCCACATCTAGTAGTTTAAGCAGTGATGGGAAACTCTTTTGCAGAAGAGACATGAGAGGGCGAAGCCCGTATTACAGTGATCGGAGGGGCTACAGTAGTCCTCCGCGAAGCGGTTATGGCGGGAGAAGGCGCAGTCTCAGTCCGCTTCCTGGACGTGGTCGAGGAGACTACGTTAGGGAACCAGAGCCTCCCACAAGTCTTCTCGTTCGGAATATCCCGCGCGATTTCACGTAAGTGACTGAATATTTTATTTGTTTTGATCCGTGGCTAACCAATGGGAGTGATTTTTTGAGTTTTGATTCTGGTGTCTTGGCCAGATTTGGGGTTTAGGAATTCTTCAGGGTTTTTACTCCTTCGACAAGAACATCAGCAACTAACACCAGTTATCTGCGCCCCCACAGTGCCGATGACCTCCGGATCCCCTTCGAGCGGTATGGAGCTATAAAGGACGTTTATCTGCCCAGGGACTACTACACTGGGTAAGTATATGTGCCTCACACTGGAACGTTTGACTTGGACTAACACCTCATGCCAAGAGGAAACAGAGGGTGGAAGCAGTACCGTGCCTAGACTTAAATGATCACCGACTTTTGAACAAAAGCTTGGACGTAATACTTGCTACGTGAAAACTAAAAAAATGCTTTCTAAAAGAGGAGTTACGCAATAACCTAATGTGGAATACTGCTTGCTGTTGGTCAATAATCTGCCTAACTTTTGGCTCCCAATAGTTTGTAGAGTTGAAGGTCACATCCCTGGGACCAGTTCGCATAAGGTTCTGTGAAGTTCCAAGAAGGCCAAGATAGGCAAAGTATAATCTGAAGAGAAGATAGTGTCTATTGGGTGGCCCAAGATGAAGTGGTGAAAGATATAAAGGGGTCAATGATATCTACAGAGCAGTGCCTGAAGTTGGGACCAATTCTTATGAAGTGTGAAGTGCCATGCAGTCAAACATTTTACTTGAAGAATGTTATGCAAGAATTGGAAGATGAATGAAGTTGTGTGTGTAACATTTAAGGCGGTCATTAGGGACGTATGTTGGCTTCAAGGTTAGCAGTTAACATTACGGATGGTCCTCTTGAAATGCTATGTACGGAAGAACTACAAGAGGGCGCAATAGGTCTTCACGTGTCACTTTCAAAGGGTGAACTCGTCTTCATGCATGACAGGGCCGATGTCAAGAATTTTGCGTACTTTCAAAATCACAGTGTGGGAAGCTTAGACTTTGTACTTGTGGGAATTCATGACAGTCTCAGGTGAAGTGAAGCGAGTCGTTGCCCAGCTATTCCTTGCCTTCTAAGTGTACCTTTTGATGGCTTGCAGACAACCGCGAGGGTTTGGGTTTGTCCAGTTTTTGGATCCACAAGATGCTGCAGAAGCGCAGTACTATTTGGATCACGAATTTATAGCTGGACGTGAAATTACTATTGTGTTCGCGGAAGAGAACCGAAAAAGACCACAAGAAATGCGTTTAAAGGAACGTGTAAGGTAAGTATTTTCTTAACCTTTAAGTAGAGAAGTGATGTACGGGAGTAAGAAGCTTTTAATATGTTGTAACATAATGATTGAATCATTTGACTTAATCAAGGGAATAGTGTCATATTGTCTTCTTTTTTTCTTTCTTCCAGCATGCATTGTGTTGGCCGCAGCTTTGTAAAGAAATCTCTTTCTTTTTGTAGGGGCCGGCCTGGATTTGGAGGACGTCGAGGTATGCTCTCTATGCTCCTATCTTTGTCTTCGACTTTTACTCCTGTGTACATGCCAAGCACGTGCCAATATCTAACCGTGTGCAGTATGCCTAGTTTTATTGCTTCGTTTGGTTGTGTTTCCGATTTTCATACTTGTGGTTTGTAATAGGTTCACGTTCACGGTCCCCAAGGCGATTTACTCCTCCTCATGGTGGTCGCAGGTCAAGGTGAGTCACTGTTGTCCATATGATGTCACTTGGTGATATTGCCACTATTTTTGCTCATATTATAGTTCTTTACCTACACCTGATCGTTACATAAGTTCCATATGTAGGTACATGTAGGCTTGAAGAACTCAGTGGGAATGTTTATTTGTATTTACATGCTAGGTTGAAACATTTCTTTTCTAGTATCACAAAGTTCCAAATTATCGGCTAAACCGCATTTCTGAGTACTGATAATGATTTAGTTCACGTGTAACCGTCGTAATAAATTTCTCGTTTTTTAAAATGTTATTACTAACTTCAACGAGTAACCTACTGATCTGAATCAACGATCTGAAATGGGTGTGATTTGGTGACGAACAGATCACCTTCTCGCCGCAGGTTACGTACTCCGTCTCCAGAGTATCGTGCCAAATCTCCCTCCAGGTCTCGTTCTCCTGTAAAATCTCATACGAGGACTCGAGATCGATATCCTCGTTCATCTCAAAGATCTCCGTCTCCGCCATCTCGGTCAAGAGATTCGCAATCCCGTGCGAATGGTAGAGATCAGTACGATTCTCGGTACGTACCCGTGGTTTCCTAGCATGTGGTTCATAAATTTCATTGTAAATGAGAGGAAATTGAGGTATATCTTAATTGTCTTCTATATTTTTGTACTTTGTTTGAACACTATGTATAATTTTTGCAGAGCACCTAGCTCAGGGCGCGACGATTCCCATCATCCGAGTCAACGCTCACCTATGGATAGGAGGACCTAGGATACGGACTTTTAGCACTCCCCATTATAGTCCAGGTAATTGTCCCTCCGTTTAGTCATGACAAGCCCTTTGTGTATTTTGTTTGATATGGCATTAAGTTTTTAATCAAAACTTAATAAAATCCAGATTCTACAATTTCGCCTCCTACCTACTTGCTTTTCCTGTACTGAAATTGGATCACTTTCTAGGAGTGGTTCTATTTGTCTTAAGAAAATTATAATTAGTGGTTGTTTCTGCAGGCAAGGATGAGATTTGAGGATGCTCAAATCTCAGGAGGTGGACAAACAAACATTGTGTTTATATGGAGTCCTACAGTTAGTCCTGCAGCTATCTCAACAGGGCATTCGCAGCAGTCAAATAATGCTCGCTGAAATTCCGTTCTTCTGAGGTGTAGCCGTCGGTGTAATCGCCGAAGGTCAGCATTAATGCTTTTGTCGATGTTGCTTTCTGGCAGTAGTGTTTATGCGCCAGATAATATTGCCATTTTCCTAGCGTTGTGCAATCAGGACAGGAAGCTTGAAGTAACTATGGCAGTGTTCCAGAGTTAATGCTATTGGTGGTGATAGTCTTGTTGTGTGGGGGCTCCTAAGAATTTTTAGTTTCCAAATGTCAATTTTGGTTTATAAGACTAGACCTGGATGCTCCATATCTTATATATGTGCTGTTCGTTATATCTCCACTGTACACATCTCAGACACTTCGTTCGTAGCAGTATGTGGTGTAGGAAGTTCTGCATGCTGGTTGTCTAGTGTGCAGTTCTGTTCCGTTTCATCCTTTTAGATTGGTTCTTTTTGGGGTCTCACAGTTGTACCCACATAATCCGCATCACATCCTTCTGTGCAGAGCAGCTTATAGGATGGTTGTGATGTCATAGAATGGTTTGTCTGAGCTGCCCTTCGCTCAAACTGAAGTAAAAATATAGGATTGTTGCGTGGTACTGGTCGCAATGTTAATTACATGTTATCGCAACATTAGTAGTAAAAATTTGTGTAGTTCGCACATGAGAATTGGATGAGGGAAATGTTCATAATTCACATAGCTACGAGAATATGGTTAAAATATGCTTGTTTTTTACAAAACAATTTTGAAAAATTGCTTTCACTTTTTGAAGAGAAATCAATAAATTGGATTAACGACTTAACATCAAATAGATGCGTTCTGCATTTTTTGGATTCATGATGTAACTGTTGGAAAATACGAACAATAAATGATTTATTTTACTATCGAATATGATTGAAGAAATGTCAAAATTACAATGATTATGATGGTTTGTAGAAATGTCAAAATTGATGATTATGATGGTTGAAGAAATGTCAAAATTACAATAATTTGATTGAAGAAATGTCAAAATTACAATGATTATGTAGGTTTACATAGTGAAGGAAATAATTTGCTATATACCTGAAAAATAAAAGAAGGTAAGTTTTAACATTGTTCTAATAAATGCCACACTTTTAAAAATACAAGAGATGTAAAAATGGCTAGATGAAGATGTAGATGTATGTGGGATGTAGATTTAAAAGAAGAATCAATAAAATTAAAGATGGTCTTCATCTTGTTTTTACTCATATTATTGTCAAAACTCAAATTTTTATTAGCATTTCTGAGAAATATAAAACACAATAAGACTATCACCACCAATCTTTTTCTATTCTATAAGAAAAACTTTAAACATTGGATTGTAATGTTATGATGAATTTTATAATTTTTACAACCTAAGATTTGTTTTTCATACTTTTCTATAATTATTGTTATATTTTTTAAATTTTAATCTTAATCAAAGAAAAATATTTTTATCATGAATATATATATTTATATATATATATATATATATATACACTATTTAAATAAGAAGCTATGTAACAATGTTATATAGGTTATTCAACATATGTCCAATTTGTGGAATACATATCTAACTTACAAAGCGAGTTTTAAACATACATGCCACATAACCAACATGTATGCCACAAGTGGCTAATATGTGTAATACATGATCAACTTGTTGGCTAAATTTTTAACCTATCAATTATCTATAAATATTTAGAAAATCAAATTTGTATCTAAAAAGCTTCTATAATATTACAAACTTAACATATTTTTTTATTTGCTTCTATATAACTCCTCTTATCTTAGTATGTAAAAAACATTAATCCTTCTTCTTAATATAAGTTCTAGAAGGAATAATAATTACATGTTGAAGAAGTCTAAGATGCAACAAATTGTATTTATTATATATTCTAATCTTTATTCTATTCAAAGATAGTTGATTGGTCCTTTCAACCATCAATAGTCTACCATACCAGAGGAAAAAGACCACCTTGTTATTTGATTATTATTAAAGCCTTTATAACTTACTTTTATAGCCTTAAATAAAACATTTGAAACTTCATCAAGAATGGTTTCTATTCTCAATAATATCACTAAATATTATAAGAACAAATAGTCTTAATATAATAATAAAATAACCATATCTTGTTGTAAATATAGGATTAAAGTTTTTTTTTATGATAGATATCTATTTTAATCTTTTTTTGTATTTAAGCTTCACTTAATTGTACCTTTATGTTGCATGTAGTTTTGATAAAAGATTTGAAAAAATCTTCAACTATAGGATTTTTAATTTTTGAAAAGTCAAATGAATTAAATCATAGATTATAATTATAATTAGAATAAAAATTGATTTTTTAGTAGAATAATATATCTTTTTATTATATTAAAAAAATTAATGAAAAAAAAGTTGTTTAAACATCTTGATGGTAGTTGATGGTATATCTTAAATATTTGATCTATACTTAGTTCACTTATTTTGTTTGCCTATCAATTTGAAGATAGAAGGTTAAAGACAATTTTGTGTCTACCTTTAACAGCTCAAAAAGAATTCTCCAAAAGCTAAATACAAATCAAATATTTTTATTTGATGTAATATTCTTTGATAATCCATAATAACAATAGCTACTATAAAAAAAATCTAGCTATTTTTTTTTTTATTTGAGATAGTTTCTATATATGATATAAAATATTCTATTTTAGTAAAAAAAATCTACTATCACAAATATAGAATTAGAAGAACTTGAGAGTAGAAGTTTTATAATAAAATCTAAAAAAAATAAATGACGATGGTTGTTTTGATAAAACTAGTGGTTAAATTTTTTTATTAGATTGATTTTAAGAAATTTAGGATTTTGAATAAAAATCACATGATTTTTTAAAGTTTTTAATATTTTTTCTCATTTGATGCCACTAAAAATATTTTGAGATTAATTTCAAGGTCTTGTTATATCCAGATTTGTTGTGCAATTCAGAAATTGTATAAAACTTGAAGAAAAATTTAGCGTACTTCATCTATTAGAATATATAAGTTTCTTTTAAAATATAAAAATGATTTTTATTTTTAAACTTAGAAATATAATAAAATTTAAAATATTTTTCTTAATATAATACATAAAAAAATTTGAAGACATACTTGATTGAACTTGATTCAAGAATCTTAGATTCAAGAAATGTTAAATCAAAAATTAATATTGATTTCATTGCTTAAAGATGAAATTACTTAGACTTCAAAATAATTATGCATTATTGATTAAAAGATGTATTTTTTTAGATACAAGATAAAAATTTCTACAAAAAGTATTTTACAAACATTGTTTTTTTTTTTTTTTTTTAAGCCAATAAGTGGTATTGAATATAAATCTTGACAAAGATATTTTCAATAAGCTTGGCAAAGATTCAAATTGCAAGCTAACATAAAATAATTAAAGTTCTTATGATTTATATGAATAATCACTAAACTAGAAGCACTTTCCAAATAATAGTGTCATTCTTTAATTGAATCAACAATTACAAGGTCTTTGTCATAAATCTCATAATTAAACTTGGCTACTAAATTTTTTTTGTATGAAAAGCTATTAGATGAAGTTTCATATCTAATTCCATTTGTGATAATACCACACATAAAACAAAATTTGATGCATTTTTTTCCATAAAAAATGTCTTAGAAAAGGCATTATAAGTAAAGATTGGAGTTGTGGTAAAAACTATCTTTAAAGCTTCATATGTTGCTTCAACTTCTTTTTTTTTTACTCAAGTTTGTCTTTATAATACAAACATATAAGTAGAACTACAAATTAAAAGAATTTTTTGATAAAAATCTAATAATAATTGGTAAATCTCAAAAAATGTTACATATTTTTTATAAGTTTTGAAACCTTCTAATTTATGATAGTCTAAACTTTTTAAAGATCTATGATAAGACTATTAATTTGAAATGATATATCTTCAGAAATTAACTTGAGTTGTCTAGAATACACACTTTTTCATCTCAACTTATAGTCTTGTATTTCTAAATTTTTGTAATATACAATAAAATAAAATTAATTCTTTTATATATTTAGAATAGATTCAAATTTTATTTAGATAATAAATAATAAAATTATCTAATAACTCTCAAAAACATCATTCATTAGATGTTAAAAAGTAGTTGGTACATTTATGAATCCAAAAGCCATAACATTATATTCAAAATACTCATGCCTACTTTAGAATATAATCTTTTATTTATTATTTTTTTAATACTTATAAAATTATATATTCTTAATAGATCTATTTTTGATTTAATTAATTAACAAGTCTTTATATTAAAGATAAAAGATACTTATCCTTAGTAATAAACTTGTTAAGTCCTTCATAGTCTAAACTCATTTGTAGTGATTTTTTTACAAACAAATTCTAAGATTCTACTTGAAATTTTGAATGGAATATGAAATTCTTGGCCAACTTTTCATCAATGTATTTCTTAAGTTTAGTCAATTCATTTTGTGATAGATTATAGATTGATTTAAATGGAGGTTGCACTCCCTTTTAATGGTTACTTAAATAATCTTAAAGATGATGCTTTGAAAGAATATTTACATCTTTTTTTAAAAAGGTCTTCATAGTTTTTATACTAATTAAGAATATTATTTGAAGTCTTTTTATAATAAAAAATAAATGTGGCATAAATAACAAAAGATAATTTTTTTTTACATCATGCATCAAAGTTTTTATTCCTAAAAATAAAGATTTGGCTATATTAGACTTATGAATTTTTACTTGATTAGTAAAAATCTTAGATATGCTGAGAAAAAAAAATAAAAATAAGAAGAAACTTAATTTATTCAAAGATTATATTTTTTTAGCTATAATTAATCTTAAATTATTAAATTATAAAGAGATTTAATAACATTAAATATTACTAAGCTATTATGACCATTTGTTGCTACATGTATAAGAATAATTTTGTAAATAACATCTCTAATAGATGAAAGACAACCATCTATGACTTCTACATGCATAAGCTTAGTTTTTTTTATTAAAGATATATTATGTTCTTTAACAATTTTTTAATTTGATAAACAATCTAAAGCTCATAAATCTAATAAGACAAAAGTTGTGTGATTTTTAAATCCTAAATAAATATTTATTATAAAAAAAAATAAAAATTATGATGAGAGAATAAAATCTTTATTAAGTATTCCATAAACTTTTAACTGCACAATCTTTATTAACAACCATGTTTCTTATTTTGTAGTTATATTGCTTTTATAGACTATATTAAGTGATGTACTTAGATTTCTTATAATATAAATATAATTTTTCTTAATAATCTTGAATTTTTTAAAATTCATTGAGAGTGTTTAATTTTACTACATTAATTTTTGTAGGTTTTGATTTTAATAAATAAAATTTTAAAAACATAAGACTTGTTGAAATGACTTGATTTATTTCTCTTTAATTAAATCTTTATTCTTAATTCTTTTTAAAGAATCAATTATTGCATGTCATGGCTTGAACAAGAAATTATTCCAATAAATTTGCACTAAGCATTGTCAATAATAAATCTTTGATATTATTTTTTAATCTATATTATAATTGATTGATAAAATCTTTATTTTTCT